AAGTCCCATTATTTCCAGCTGTAAGGTTTCTACCTCATTTGGCTCCATCTTCTCTGCAGTACTGACTTAGTTTTCGGTTGTAGCAGTAATTTTTCACTAAACCTTGGTTGTAGCCCTCCTGGTGCCGTTGGTTCACCTCAGATTGCCAATACCCTTGGCTGTAGAAACTCAGACTACCACACAGTCGTCCACTAGATGTCGCCAACCTGGGTAGGTTAAAGTGGGGACTGAATGAGAGCTGGAGATGTCTGGTCCTAGCAGAAGTCAAACCTCGCCTCACTCAATCCCAGCGGTGCCTCCAGAAATGTTACACCCCTGTAAAAGGGAATAATGAAAAAACCGACATGGACACGGTGTTACTTCTGTCGTTTTCAATGCCGTAATGGACGAGCAGAAGTACCGCGCTTCCCCTGTTTCAACCCAGGCTCGACCAATCGAGACAAGATCAACAAATAAACGCCTAAAACATAAAATCTGAAAAGGCATCACACTCCAAGTGGTGGATACAACCATGCTAGAAACGTAACATTAAACAAAATGCTTTTTAAATGTTTTTAACGGATGCATGTTTTTTACTGCATCATTCAGTGTCTTTGGAGTTACAAGACCAAAATAATCGATCACAGATCTCCAGATCACATATGCTAAAAGCATAAAAGATAAATGAATTTTGCTAAATGATTGTACAAAAATATGATTTTGCTCACATTTTATTTCTCTATTATAACCATTACATAGACATTATGAATTGTTATTTAAAGAATTTGTCCTGAACGATGTCTTCTCAGTAAAATAACTGGAAAGAGAAAGCTTCAAGGTGTAAACACAGAGCTTTCCATAACAGTTAAATAAATAAACTTGCCTTGCCTTGATAATACCATGGCTACTTTAATAATGATGCTTTGTGGGTACTTTTGAAATGGTCAAGATGGACTAGTGTGAGTGAGATGTTTGTCACAGCAACAGTCAATACCTTACATGCTAACGAAAGTTAATGTATAGTTTTATCTGTAGGATAAAAGCATCTGGCTATTATATTGTCACTTACTAACACCACACGTGGTGTAATCCATATGAGTCTAAGCTGTGGAGACACTGGTATTCCTGTCTCCTTAAAGCTCCAATCTAATTGATAATTGTACTGTACTTTTTACTTGACCTGTTTTATTTTTATTTTTATTATTTATTGGACTATGATTCTGCAATAAAGTCTGTCTGGCTGTCTGTCTATTTGCCTGCCTGCCTGTTTGTTTGTCTATCTACCTACCTACCTTTAACAGATCACAGAGAAAATATTTCATCAGGCCCACATTTGAGTTTTCAGTGATGATTATATTTGTAAGAAATAATACAATGACTTTTCAAAGCAATTGCACCTTTAACAAAACTATTTATATAGCCGATCCAAAATTAAATCTGGTGTTGAGGTGATTCTGTACTTTGAATTTGTGCAATTCATATGCAGGACTTACTTTTATACGTCCTGTCCTCTACCCCGACTATGAGCAACAGATCATCGCTCACTGTGGAGGGCTTTAGAAGTCACTCGAACTTAATAGGTCTCAGATGGGACTTAACATGGCCAACCCGCCACGGGCATGTGTAAATGGAGTACCGGTAAGTACTTGGTAGGGGGAGGGAGTGGCCACTGCAGGGCCATATGTCAAGCTTTGCTTTGTCTCGTATCCTGAATTTCTAAATTCTGCTTTTGTGAAACTGCACTCACAAAGAAGCTGCCTTGTCCTGCTCAATGTGAAGCAGCTAATAAAGGAATCATTATCTTTATAGAAGCTTCCATAACCCAGCAAAAAATGTTATCGTTAAGAGTTATGCAGTTTACTGTTTTAGTAAATACACATACATGCAATGCTCACCCCGGTGGGAGTGGTAAATATGTTATGTAATGAAATAACTTTCGGACTGTCATATATAGGCTGTGGGTTAGAACGACAAATAAAAAGTGACTTGAACTCCAATACTTGTCAAACAGTTGACTCTAAAAACATGTGGAATCAATTCCCATCAACTTCCATTCATAATATAAGATTTAATAAACTAAAATCATTTCATATTCTCAAAAACCCCATCTCATCTCATCTCTGGGTCTGGTCTCTCCGTCTTATACTTTATCCAGGATCAGGTCGAGGGGACAGCAGTCTCAGCAGATCCAAGACTTCCCTCTCCGCAGACAACTCCCTCCAGCTCTGCTTGGCGAAGCCTGCAGCGTGCCCTGCGTCCTTCCAGGGGGATGTGTCTGGAATACCTCCTGAGGGAGGGCTCAGGAAGCATCTGAAAAAGATGTCCGAGCCACCTCAGCAGACTCCTTTTCGAAGTGGAGGAGAAGCGTCTCTACTACGAGCCTCTCCTGAATAAACAAGCTAATGGAGTTCCCAGCAACCCTCTGGAGAAAGCCCAATTCAGCCCCTGTATCCAGGATCTCGTTCTTCTGGTCATGATACAGATTTCAAGAAAATAGGTGAAGGTGGAGACGTAAACTGACCATTAAATTGAGAGATTTGCATTTTTGCTGAGCTCTCTCTTCACTACAACAGACAAGCGTCTGCATTATAGCAAAAGCTGCACCAATCAGTCTATTGACCTCCTGCTCCATTCTCCCTTCACTCATGAACAGGACCTCAAGATACTTCAACTCCTCCACTTGAGGCATAAACTCTTTTCCAACCCGAAGGGGGCAAGCCACCTGTGTACGGCGGAGAACTATGTGAGAGCCAGCAGAACCACATCATCAGCAAAAGACAGGGAAGAGATCTGCTGGTCAACAAACCAGAACCCCTCTGGCCCTTAGCTGCACCTAGAAATCCTGTCCATAAAGGTAAAGAACAGAGCAGTGACAGAGAAAAGCCAGGTCAGAATCCAACATGCACCAGGAAGTCCGACTTAATCTCAGCAATATGGACTAAACTCCTGCTCTGCATGTACAGAGACTGAATTGCACCTAGTAAAAGGCACCCGACTCCATACTCCTGGAGCCCCCACAATGCACCACTAAAGACACGGTTAATAGACTTCTCCAGGTCCACAAAACACATGCTGACCGATTGGGCAAACTCCCAAGGGCCCTCGGAAACCCTGCAAAGAGTATAGTGCTGGTCCACTGTTCCATGGACAGGGTGAAAACTGAACTGCTCTTCCTGAAGCCAGTGATCAACAATCAGCTGGACTCTCCTATCTAGGTACCTGGCATAGGCCTTCCATGGGAGGCTGAGAAGTGTGATCCCTCTATAATTGGAAAACACCTTCCAGTCCCCCTTCTTATGCAGGGGAACCACCACCCACGTCTGTCAATTCAGGGGCACTGTCCCAGACCTCCATACTATGTTGAAGAGGTGTTTTAGCTACGGCAGCCCGACAACAATCCAGAGCTTTAAGGTACTCAGGGCAGATATCATCAACCCCTAAAGCCTTGCTGCAATTGTTTTTTGGACCACCTCTGCGACCTCAGCCTGGTTGTTGAACAAATCCATCCCCAAGCACTCCGTCTCTTCTTCCACCATGGAAAGCTTGTCACCCAGATTGAGAAGATCTTTAAAGTATTCATTCCACCATCCAACAATATCCTTTTTCAAGTTCAACAGCTCCCTACTCCAGAACAGTGTTAGCAAAGCACTGCTTATTAACAATGGAGGCAGAGAACATGACTAACTCTGACTCCATGTCTCCAGCCTCCCCAGAATATGGTAGAAGCTCTCCCAGAGGTGGGAGTTTGACAAGCCCTGAATGAGGAGTCAACCAGACGTTCCCAGTAGACCCTCCCTACACACTTGAGCCTACCAAGTCTGTCCAGCTTCCTCTTCTTCCAGCGTATCTAGCTCACCACCAGGGTGTGATCAGTGGTTAGCTCCGCCCATCTCTTCACTCGAGTGTCCAAGCGCGTCCTGAGCATCTGTTGCTTTGCTCTTCCTTTTCTGATCCTGTAGTAGCTGTGGCAGCACAGAAATATGTTTTGCAGCTGACCATCATGCCACTAAGTAAGTGAACCTAACACTAGTCAAGGCAGTGACTTAAAATATATTAATATGTTTTCCCTTTTTGAGAGTGTTTTCTTATTTGGGAGGAAACTTTTTTTTTTGCAATAAAACATAAAAATTGTAACACCAAAATAGACATCAGAACAAGCTGAACAGTCACACCGCTTTTTGAATCACTAAGCAACTGAAACACTGTCAGCAAAAGCCATGTTGAATTTCCTCTTTCTAGAAAGATTTCTAAATAATCCGCTTGGCAGGTGGTTGTCCTGTAAAGGTCCAACAGATGGAGACCTAAGAAAAAGGCTAGAAAGCTCCCAATTGAGATCTAGCAAACCCTAATATTTAATTCTACACATTTCCAGAACTGTCAGCAAAATTATGATGAAAAAAAAAAACTCTTGTTTTTAGCCAGGAATTGGTTTTAAAACTTCCTCTATCATTTTTAGAACCACCTGTCCATGTATCGTTTAAAATCTTATTTAAATATTATAATTGTTTCGGTAACTCCTTTTTAGCAGCCACTTTATATTTTGTGCCACTACAAATGGTTTTATTAACAATTTATCCAGTTTAAACCAACTGTCTGCAACAAATTTCAGAAAACAGCAAGATTTTTTTGTATATCCTCAATCTACAGCCAAATATTCAGTTTCCCCAATTCTTGTAATCAGTGTGGTCTCCTTCTTTAGGTTAGGAACATATGGCTTTGAGCTTAGTTATCACTAATGTGCTGAGGTAAATCTTTTCCTTAGGTATTTCTAACATTTTCTCTTCCATAACATCCATTTTCTATGCTCTACCATGTTGTTAAATTAAGGATCCACAAGTCAAAATGTGTTAATGCACACGGACCTGTTCTGTACAAATGTTATATAATCATAGGATAGATGATCTACTCTGAGGGATACAGAGGGAGTACTGCTGAGGCGGCAGGAAGCAGGGGCTTAACTCTAGCTCGAGAAGATATAACTGCAAAGCCTTTCTTCCAACTGCTCATTGTCACTAAAGGTATAGAGAGCAAAAGCATTGAGGTTAGCTTTTTGTTCTTGATGGGAGCTTTGCTGAGATCTAATAATGTGTGATAGTTCTTTTGCATGTTCTTTGGGGCTTTGAACAAACTATATACTTTGGTGGTTATGACATCATGATCATATAAGCTAGTGTTGGGTCTCCTCACAATTCTGTGATGTATTGTGGTGAAAGAGAGGACAGCAATGTGGAGGTCACGCAGTGCTCCAGATCTGCTGAGACAACAGAGAGCCACTCAACACCAGCCGGGGAGAAAATCTCCTGGGAGAGCTTCTTGATAAGGGTAAGCTGTATCTTTTCTGAAAAAATATTTTACAGATTACAGAGAGAACTTCTATTTATTCTAATATGACCCAAATAATCATTGTTTTTTCCGCTGTAGAACAATAATAGTATATCTATAGCTTAGTTCTTACATTGAAACTTGATTTGGTTAAATCATTATTTTAAGCTTAGGACTAATGATATCTTATACATATGTATAGCCTTGGCATGTTCTACATATTTGATACACATAGAAAATTATAAAGATTATAAAGATGTACACTATCATAACCCTGTATATATATATATATATATATATATATATATATATATATATATATATATATATATATATATATATATATATATATATATATATATATATATATATATATATATGTATATATATATATATATATGAAAAAAATATATATATATATTCAATATAAAGGTCATCATTTCCATTTTTTTTTATATTTTAAATTTATTAAACTGTATGTAAACTTTCATCCATCCATCCATCCATCCATCCATCCATCCATCCATCCATCCATCCATCCATCCATCCATCCATCCATCCATCCATCCATCCATCCATCCATCCATCCATCCATCTTCTTCCGCTTATCCTGGGTCGGGTCGCGGGAGTCGCAGCTTCAGTAGGTAGGCCCAGACGTCCCTCTCCCCAGCCACTTTGGCCAGCTCCCCTGGGGGAATCCCAAGCGCGCCCATGCCAGCTGAGAAACATAGGCCCTCCGGTGTGTCCTGGGTCTCCCCCTGGGCCTCCTCCTGGTGCGACGTGCCTGGAACCTCTCACCAGGGAGACGTCCAGGAGGCATCCTAACCAGATGCCCGAGCCACCTCAACTGGCTCCTCTCGATGTGGAGGAGCAGTGGCTCTACTTTGAGTCCCCCCCCCGGATGACCGAGCACCTCACCCTATCACTTAGGGAGAGCCCGGAGACACTACGGAGAAAACTCTTTTCAGCCACTTGTATCCGGGATCTCATTCTTTCGGTCATGACTCAAAGCTCATGACCATAGATGAGGGTAGGAATGTAGATCAACCGGTAAATCGAGAGCTTTGCTTTTTGGCTCAGCTCTCTCTTCACCACAACAGACCGGTACAGTGCACGCTTCACAGCAGACGCTGCACCAATCCGCCTATCGATCACCCGCTCCATCTTCCCCTCATTCATGAACAAGACCCCAAGATACTTAAACTCCTCCACAAGGGGTAGTACATCCTCCCCGACCCGGAGAAGGCACTCTACCCTTTTCCGGCTCAAGACCATGGTCTCGGATTTGGAGGCACTGATTCTCATCCTGACCGCTTCACACTCGGCTGCGAACCCCTCCAGTGAGAGCTGTAGATCACACCCTGATGAAGCCAACAGAACCACATCATCTGTGAATAACAGAGATGCAATCCTAAGGCCACCAAGAGAGATCCACTCAACACCTTGGCTGCGCCTAGAAATTCTGTCCATAATAGTTATGAACAGAATCGGTGACAAAGGGCAACCTTGGCGGAGTCCAACCCTCACCGGAAACGAGTCAGATTCGGACTCGTAAACTTTCAAGCACAATTTTATATTTGAATACAGGAATATTTGTCCCAATTCAATGCTCAATCAAAATGTACATGCACACAAAAAAGAATCAGTTAAAGTTATTTGGGATTACAGATGCATTGTTCCAAGATGTGCTTGAAATCTAAAGATTTTTTTTTTTTTTTTTTACCAGAAAAGTATACTTACAAAGAAAAGATGAAAAAGTTAGAAATGTCATTATTTGTGAAATACATTTTTAAACATAGAAACTGGAATAAAGCTAAAATTGCTTGAAATTTTGATTTAAACTTTTTTCTTAATTTCTATTATATTAAACCTTTGTGTTTGGATGTTAGATGTTTTTGAATCTTTGAAACTTCAAGTGTTCATGTGTGAAACATCTGGTGGGAGAAAATTCCTTTACTTGGGCCAAAAAAATCCAAGTACCAAAAAAATGGTAACCAGGTTATCTTTATATTTTAAATTGAAAGAAATAGTGGTGCTTTGTCATTATTGCATTTGTGTTTAAAAATAAAAAGCTTAGTCTCTGCAGTGGGTTGAACTGCAATGCACTCAGTGACTTTTGTGCATTAGCTATGATCTCAGCTGGAAATGGTTACGTCTGGATTTCTTTCCTTAGGCGGAGACAGACAGAAGAGTCAACAACTCCATGCCAGGGACTTTTCCTGATTTTTCACCGACCAAGAGAGGTTCTAAAAGCACTACAGATATTCCTCATCCAAGCATTTGCTTGCTTCCTCCCTGCCCTTCAGACAACGCAGATAAAGAGCAGAGTAATTGGCGTCGCTGTTCATTGATTGAAACCAACAATGTCTCAAGGTTCCGTCGACATGCTCTCAGTGTCCCAAACATGGGCTCATCCAGCCCGCTCCATTTCCTTAACAGCACTCCTCTTCTCAGCAGCCCTATCTCACCAGCACACAGCAGCATTTCTAGCCCTGGAAGAGAAATAGAGAGGCTTGCCAAGGCTCGCAGTAAACTCCTGGAGAGTGAGAACCAACAAACACCCAGAATTCCCCGTGAAACCAGAGAGCAACATCGCTATGTGTCCAAGGATGGGAAGTGCAGAGTCAACCTGGGCCATATTGATGAAAGGGGTCGTTTTCTGTCTGATATTTTTACTTCTTTTGTGGACCTCCAGTACCGCTGGTTTCTATTTGTTTTCATGATGTGCTATATAACGACTTGGTTCTTATTTGCTGGGCTCTATTACATTAACGCATCCATTAGAGGTGACTTAGTACAAGGGCGACCTCTTGGTACTAATCAGAACAAATATGGGGAACAATATGCTTGTTACGTGGGTATAGACGGTTTCATTTCCGCTCTCCTCTTCTCTGTGGAAACACAGCGTACCATTGGTTATGGTTCAAGGACTGTTTCCGCTTCCTGCCAAGAGGGCGTCCTGCTTGTCATGTTGCAGTGCATTGTAGGCTCCATGATAGATGCCCTCATGGTGGGCTGTATGTTTGTGAAAATATCCCGCCCTAAAAAGCGAGCTGAGACACTTCTTTTCAGTCGTACATGTGTCATTGCAAACCGGGATGACCAGCTATGCCTGATGTTTCGTATCGGAGACCTGAGAGAAAGTCACATGGTGGATGCAAAGGTTAGAGCAAAGTTAATCAAGTCCCGCCAGACAGCCGAGGGAGAATTCCTGCCTCTTGAACAGACAGAGATTGATCTTGGTTATGAAACTGGATCGGACAGACTTTTCCTCGTTGAACCTCAAGTCATAAAGCACAACATTGATGTCAACAGTCCTCTGTGGAACCTGGGCCCTGAGCAACTTAGACGGCAACAGTTTGAGATAATTGTTATCTTGGAAGGAATTGTTGAGGCCACAGGTTAGTAGCAACTAACTTTATAAAGGTATAACACAGTAGTAAGATATGTAGTTACTTCAGCTGTAGTTAAATTAATTGAATCTTAAAGGCAAAGTACTTAACAATTTCTTCTTTTCATTTTCAATAACCAAGTATCGCTATAATTAATAAATATTCTACAAAAGTCTAACTTTACATCCAGAACGAATGCTTTCTTATAGCTTAAAATTACTTGTGTATAAATATGCGGCTGGATGTATCCAATGGGAGAAGCCAAGTTGCATCACCATTTTTTATTATAGTAACTGAAAGAGGACAAACTTCTAAACCTTATGCATTTTATCCAATATATCTGAAAAGGGTGTTCTCTGTGGCAGAGGAGTTTAAAGCAAGGAAAAAAACAACCATACATCATTCTACCTTCCACTTTCTATTGCAATGGAACATCATCCATAATCTTTTCCAAGAAGAGGCAAGAGAAACAAACCAAAAAAATATAAGACGTTGCAATAAGCAGGAAAGGCTGATTTTACCAGATGCAGACAGTTTATGAGGGAAAGGGGCTTCCAAATACACGGAGAGGTCTTATGCTTTCTGCTATAATGGTAAGGTAACTCCACCAGTTAGTCTGTCCCCATGGCAGGTAGGGCAGGTAGTGTGTTTGTTATTCAACCCTGGGTGAGCTGTGCTGAGACAGTTATCAGATTCTGTTCTTCACAAAAGTCATACAAGCAGGCTACCGTAAGCTTCTTTAAGATCTGTTTTCAGAGATTTTTTTCATTTATTTTATAAGTTCAGTAAACTTACTTCAGTAGATTTGTCAAGAATGATTTAGCTGGCTCTATCCTCTCGGTAAAGATGGTTAGTTTGTTTGTTAGGCTACAGTGGAGGAGATGTAATGCAACAGTTATCAGCGACAGACGTCATACCAGCTTGCAAGCATAAGCTTCTTTCAAGTCCTGTCTTCAGAGAAAATGTTCCATAGCTTATTTTATACGTTATCTTCTTTCCATGAAGCTTAAGGTGTGATGGTGTTCTGAAGCTCAGACTGAAGTAACATGGAAATCAGACAAAGAACACCACCAGAAAGAGCACCAGAACCGGGGCAAGGCAGCTGGCAGTGCCGCTCTCCAGAGCTAGGGAACCACAGTGGGAGATCAGAGGAGGACAACTGTGAATGTAGAGGCCTGTTAGCGGTGGCTGGCCGGGTGGCCGGTGCCTGCACTGGAACAAAGGGAGGACAACCAACAGTCCTTCTGAGGCTAAATTAAAATGGATACAAATCTCTGTATGGCTTTTCCCCCATTTAACTCAGGGGGGTGTGTAGAGTACAAGCACCAAGCTTGAAACACTACAATACAGAAAGTAGAAAAAACAACCGCTTGCAATTTTTTCATACCCTCTTTGTGGTGTCCAAGAGCAGCAGTCATTTCTTTCCAGGATTTTTCCTCAATCTGTCAATAGTGGTGGTATTTATAAGCTAAATCACAGGATATCTTTAATAATAATAATAATAATACATTTTATTTAGCAGCGCCTTTCTTGACACTCAAGGTCACTTTACAAATAATACAAAAGATAAATAAAAAGAGAGATGAAAATACAAAATACAGATACAGGAACATAAAAAACAATCATGGATAAGGAAAAGAGCAGTGTATTCACAGATGAGCGAGCTGGAACAGATGGGATTTGAGTCTGGCTTTGAATAAGGGGAGAGAGTCAATACTGCGGAGGTCGGGAGGAAGTGAGTTCCAGATATTTACATTTTCACCTTCGCCGGTTGGAGCTGTTGTTGCATGTGCACATTTTTCGGCGTGGATCTGTTTACGTAGTTAGAAACTTTCCTTGGTGTACTGTGCATAAATCTGTCTGCATGGACGCTGCGGCGCAGGGGCATGGAAACCAAAAACTATGTGGACCTAACAGATGTATCAAGCATAAAGCAAGCTTAAATTTTTCGCTATGGCCACAAAATCGTGTTAGGGGTGATCATACCTTAAGCATTAAGCAAAATAGTATATTTCTGTTAATATTATAATATTAACAGTCTGTAATATTATGACAGACTGAACTTACTGTGATGTCTATTGTTCTGAAAAACTGATAAAAAAAATTGTTAAACATTTAATGGATAATAATTTTATCATTTTCTTATAAGCTCCATGTTTATCTTGAGGAAAACAAAAAAATATATAGTGATTTAGGGGTACCAGCATTCCAGAGCCAAGTGCATCATGTGATACTTTAATGGCTTTAATTTGTTAGAAATTTTGCAAACCGTTAATCATTTCTAATTTCACTTTTATTCCCTTCTTTGTCACAGGCCATTAGAGTAGGCACTTTGTATAATATAATAAAATGTAAAAAGTTTCGAAGGATGCAATATATTAGTAAGACATAGCGATTGTCAAGGTTAAAATGAAAGGGGATTTTCTGTTCTTAGTAACCAAATTACATAAGCTTTGCAAAGAGCAGATGCATATTTTTTCTAATACAATCTCTTTTCAGTGGTTTGTCTCAGAACCCAACCCTAAAACATTACAGCAGACATTATGCAATTCAGCCACTCCTTTGATCCGAGAACCGTTTCTGGCCAGGGAAAGGCACTACCTTCTTCCCTTTAAATTTTCTTTTTTAGCCGGAGGGTTTTGACTGGATTGTTGCAATTCTGCAGAAACTGAACAAAGAGACCTTTAACAGGGGCTGGTAGCTCATGCTTCTTATTTTTTCAACAAATGAGAAAGCACTTATTTGCGGTAAAGCAGTCAGATTTGCATAGATGAGGAGAACGTACGTGCCATACAGTCTTAAAGAAGCCCTTTACAGAAAAATGCACTGGAATAGGATCCAGAAGGAGACCTAGGAAATGATGTCAAGACAGGAAATCCCACAGGATGCTACGAAAACCAGACATCACTTTATTATTGAAACCAGACCATTAGAATAAAATCATAGCATAGACCTTTTATTCACCTAAGGAACGGAGGAAGTATTAAAAATGTTTCCTTTTTTTTAATTAAGTCTTAGATATACAGAGAATTTCTTTAATTACCCTAAAGATGCCACTGATAAAACAGATTTCCTGTTTTCTCAAATTATTGAATCTTGTAAAGAGGTTACAAAGGTTTTGGGCAGGAGACAATAAGAGAAACAGACATTTAATAACCAACACACAGCAGAAAAGACAAAGGAAAAAGGATTAGGAATCTAAAGAAAACTGTCAACACAAGTAAAAGACTTGGGCACATAAAGTATTTTTTTGAAAAACCATGAAACAGCTTAAACAAGAAAGAATCTTAACAAAAAGTATTTTCACCAAGCAATCATCTTCGTCAATATAGGGCCATGCAACATGGTGGAGAATGAACTAGGACTGGAGTTTAAGAAGCTTGAGTCTGAAGCTAAGAAAGTAGGTAAAGTCAAAGTCAGAGATATAGGAATGGTCTACTGGCAGAGATGGAGGTCAGGTAATGGCAAAGAAGAAGAGATGGAAAAGAAGTTCAAAGCTCATATGGAGAAAACGAGTCAATGCCATCACGCCCCAATGGCATGAACCCATTGAGGTGTGGCAGTGGTGAAGGGGTTAAACACGTTGCTGTCTTGCAACTGAGCAACAAAAACAATTCGGAGACCTAAAATAAGTCCTCATCCCATGGCCCTTGATGCGGATTCTTTTCTCAATTGGACTGAGTCCAACCCTGGCTGACTGGGTCCTGAACTTCGTGATCAACGGTTCTCACATTGTTTAGATCAGAGCAGAAATCTTTGACACAATGAAACCGAGAAAATATATCCGTCAATACAAGGTGCCTTAAACATTGCTGAGATTATTACAAGAGCAGAAAATCGTGAGGCTCTTGAGGAGGGTTCAATCTGGTAGGAAGAACAGGAGTTTCTGAAGAAGCCAATAAAACTGGTCCAAAAAATCTTCAAACATGTTGCTGCAAATGATAAAGAGAGCATAAGAAAAACTCCAAAAATCAGTTCTAAGCATTAATTAGTGGAGTACTGGTAAGAAGAGAAAAGTCTAACACTTGAATCTGAAATTCTGAGGTATAGCGATTGACTCAGGATGAAGGACTTCCACTGGCTTAATCAAGCGACTTTTTGAGGTAACAAAATTTATTTATTTGAAAAGACCTTATGAGGAGACTTGCCTTGATCAAGAAAACAGCTATGAAATAGAAGACCAAGCTGAATTCAAAGAGCTCAGCTAAGGATGAGCAAACATTTCTGAAAAAAAGAAGGCAATGAAAAGTCTAAGGGTAGACAGGCTAAACTTAGGTTGGTAGAGTGACAAAAACATTTACTAGAATTTACTAATTCTGGTATTATAAAGAAAGGATACATTCAGCCATATGAAGGTCTTTTCTAAATAATTGTTTTTTCTTTTAGATTCTCTGACCTTTTTGCAATGTAGACACTTGCTGAAAGCTGCTATCACTTGGTAGATTAGTTTCTAAAAGACTCATTTTATCTTAACTTTGAGAAGAAATGATCGTGCTTTGCCTTAGATCACCGATCACTGATTAGAAAAAGTGGAAATATTGTTTACTGGGTGAGCACAGCACAGATAAAGTAGCTACTTTCTGTAGAAGCTGTGCAATCACTGTTCTACATAAAATAGTGACGAATACTCCTTTTTTAGGGGCTGCTCTTAGTGCAGAATTCATGAGATTACTCATAAAGGCTGGAATTACACCAAATACTTAGGTTTACTATTTAGGTGCCTGTTTGGGATAAAGCTGGTGATTTTACTGGTTTGTTTTGGATCATTGGCATGTTTTAGGGTCTAGTTCTGCTTTAGATTATTTTTTTCTTCACACGTAGTCTCTGATTTCTCTAAAGAATGTTATACATATAAGTAGTCTTTTGATGTTTAATTAATGAAATAAACAAATTTACAAGAGAAAGACCAGGGAACACAAGAATTCAGGGAAATGGGAAAATACCTGTGGCTAACAGCTTGCAGATGTGGGAGGAAAGAGCAGAAGAGAGACCAAGGAGAGAAAAATGGCTGCAGTGTTCAAGGGAGGTTAAGCACAGAAGACAAGAAAATAAATCTAAAACTAACAAAGAACCACTAGAGACAAGGAATAAATTAACCCAAGTTACTGTCAAAAGATTAAACTAATAAAAATGGAAAATAAAGGACAACAACAATAAAAAGTAGAATCAAACCCCAAACCTGGACGTACATTTTCCAATGTGACTGTATTTTTTATTAAACTTATTATAGGAGATTCTTTCGTTCAATTCAGATGGTTTACAATGACAAAACTCAGAAACAAAAAAAGGAAAATTACATAAGTCCAATGAAAAAGAATATATGTACAGAAATGTTTTATCATAACACAACCATAGGTTACTTACCTGTAACTTGATAGAACAAAAATTCCACTTGAAATATATTACTCTGTGTCTAATTAATCTATTTAATATTTCTCTTAGTTAGCCAGGTCAATCGCTAATCAGGCAATCTCTCCTGATCTATCGACCATGTCACAGTCAATCCTTTATTTATTTGTTGTTCTCAAACATTATTTAACAAATAAAATGTTCTTTTTACTTTTCACATATGCATGACTGAGATAAAATGCAAGAGGCACAAAGTAGCTCAAATTTAGAAAAAGGGAGAAATATTTGCTGTTATCTTTACATATGTTTATCAAATGCTTCCTTCCAAGATGTTCTTGTTATCAGTATTGCTGTAACAGCAAAATATTTGATCCGTATTCAAAGATTCTGCGTTGTGTTAAGGGTGGTTTTGCACCAACAACAAACATTGGACTGCTTTGTGATGAAAACCAGATGGCAATTTCCCCCATTAAAGTTCTGAAGATATTTGTTTTTCTTTTATCATCCTCTGCAGTATCCACCCAAAACTCCACATGCAAGATTAAACCAACTCTAACATAACTTGAGTACTTGATGACATCTGTTGGAGTCTTCTAAAAGTTTGCTGGTGTCAGTTGATCAGCATGATTATTTTTGCCTTCTTTTTTTGTGATAGACCAAAATACAAACAAATTACAATCAGCAGTTTTTTGTCAGTTGAAATCTATACTCCATACTCCACCACTGAACGAAATATGGCTTGTATGTTTTCCAAGTCCTAAGGTTTTTTTTATTTTTCGTTTTTAAATGAGCTTAACCTAAATCCATATGCGCAGACTTCATTTAATGTTCAAATATTGAACATTAAGTCAACCAGTCCCATAATCATCTTGCAAAATCTCAGAAATCTAAAAAAAATCTGCGTAAAGTTTTACTTGCATTAGCTAAATAACAATGTTTATCATCTTAAAGAAACTGCACCTGGTAAAATCAGTTATCCGGTTTCAGAATTATTTACTACACACAGGTACACAAAGGAAATATGTAATCGTTTCTTAGTAACAAAGATGGACATCATGGTGTTCCTCTCCTTGTGTGTGGAGATGTGAACAAATAGGGACATCATGTGGCCCACAGTGGGAATTACAAGGGATCCACCTATTTAATGTGTGTGTTTTTTTAACCTTTTCCCAACAGGAATGATGTGCCAAGCCAAAACATCTTACATTGAAACAGAGATTGAGTGGGGTGCACGCTTTGAACCATGTATGACATTGGAGAAAGGCTCATTTCGAGTGGATCTGCGTCGGTTTCACAGCACCTACAAGGTACCACTGCCTAACTGTAGTGCCAGCCAAGCACACCAGCTGATGCTTCTGGCTGATTGCAATGCCCAAAGCCACAAGGCCTGCAGAGACTGGGTAGCTTTTGCAGAGAGAACAGCTATGGAGGACAAGGACAAGTCTCCGTCTCATGTTCGGTTTACTATCGGTGACATTCAGGAGGAAAGGTCAGACAGTAATGAAAACGAAGCAAGTGCAGAGCAGATTCTGTAATAGAATCCTGGAAGGACTTCAAAGATTTACTTTACTTTTAAATGTGTATAGATTCATCTATTGATAAACAAATTTTGGTTAAGCATTTTTTCACTAAAATTGACATGGATTGTAAAAAAGCAAGAGCATGAATAAAATGTAATACTGACAAATAGACTGCACTTTACTGCCCTATTTTTGTATTTTTGCTTGAGATTGTGTATGACTTGGTTTGGACAGATTTTATCCTAGAAATGTTATAAGGCTTAAAAGAGCTCCTCCAGCTTAAGGTGACCAGATTTTTATTTTACATTAAGGAATTAAGGGGCATCTATTGCTCAGAGATAGAACAAAAAATTTAATAAAAAAAATGATTAAGAATTTTTGCATATTTACTCATTAAGCAATAAAAAGTGTAACATCCGGAATGTGTCTTTCCTTACTATCATGGGGAAGTGGGGGTGCTGGGGGTCCTGCAGCACATCCTGGTGGCGATGGGGAGAGAAAAAACATATGCTGAATATGTTCAGCTTGTCCCACGCATAATTATTATGATAGATGTTACCATGTATTTGTGACTGGGTATAATTAAATAATAATCACTATATTGTCAAAGATTTGGGGGAATTTAATGTTGATCCCACCAGATTGTTCACCACACAGGTGCAGATCATCAGCCTCATAACCAGAGCGGCACAAGAGGAGCAGGTCACCACTATTCTTTGATGGAGTTTTACCCTATATGGTAACATTTAGCCCTCATGATTCGCACTCATACTGTTAGTCAATTTATGCAGTTTAAAACCGGGTTAGCCATTGTCTGGGGCCCCCCAGCCCGCTCGGGGCCACAAAAAATTGCTTGTTTTGCTTGCTTTGTTGCAGCGGGCCTGAATACAGGAAGGGGTTAGGGTCTGACAAACTCCGCCATTTGTACTGTGGTCCCTCTCCACTCCTTTTCTGCACATATTTGACTCAGATTCTGCATGTGCCTTTCTCTGCCTGGGGTCCATTTAACGAAGGAGGTTTACTGAAAACTAAGTTTTCTAAACCTGAAGTATGGGAAAATCTGAGTTTTCCGTTTTACAAAGAGAGTTTACTCAACCTCTGTTTTAGTCACCATAGTAACATTCTCCCTAGAGCTAACCTGGTCGGGAACAGGTTTTCTTCAGTAAACACGGAGTGTCCTCTGTCTCCATTTTTTTTTTAACTTTCTGAAATTTCTACTGGAAAAATGTAATTACAGTTCACCATTTTATTTTCTGATTTAATCAGGAGAGTCTGGTCGTAGTTTTGTGCATACAATGAAAAAATATAATACGCACACTGTTTTTTTTTTTTTTTTTAAACAAATATCGCATGTCATTTGACGAGGATCATATCAGAGAATGATGGGCACTTTCTTCACCAATAATTAAAGGGAGATGATTCTACAACTCAGTTTATTTGTTTTTGATTTGTTTAATATGAGCCACAAGCGGATCATTTTATTTTTTCTGTTTATTTTTACAGTAGTTGCTTGAGGAATTACTAAGATTATTTTGAGATTAAATATTAATAGATTTGTTAATTCAGCTGTTGATTCAGATAGTAATACGCTGCTGCCAGATGTTTGACCCTAAATAGTATACATTGATTCACTACTATTCAAGGAATAAACCCGTTATATCATCATGTTCACAATTTCTATGGCAAGCCAATTTGATATGTCACTGTCTTGGTTCTGTTATGTTTTACTTTGCTCCATGTTTTCCAGTTTTATTGGTTTAATTCCTATTTTGTTGTATTTTCTGGATATATTTGAGTTCTTAGGTTTTTATTTGTTGCCGTCTTGTGTTTGTCTCCTTTTCCCTAGCTCCTTCCTGGACTGCTCTCTTCACACCTGTTCCCAATCTGCTCGTTAGTCTTCTCTTTGTTCAGTCTACCATAAATACTCTCCTTGTGCAGCTCCTCAGTGCTGGTTCCTCGTCTTACCTCGTCTCTCCTTGCCTTTCCCTGACTCTACATGCTCTTTTCTCCTGAGGTCTACTTGCTTCTGGTTAAGTTTTACATTTTAAGTTGGATTTTGGATTCCAGCCTCTGTTACCTGTGTTGATTCATTAAAAACTGCAAGAACTCACATCTGCCTCTCAGCCTCTATATTTGGATCCTCAAACCTCAACCAAACCCTGACAATGTATTAGTATTGCTGAATAGGTATTCCTGGTATCTGAAAAAACATATACTCTTTTCCCTTGTCAAGATGACACTCTTCACATGTAGAATAAATATTCTTGATGTGTCCTGATTTTATCTAAGGCTCGGACCCACATGCAGTGAAACAAAACAGAGAGAGACGGATGAAGAGTTTGACCGATTTTATTGAAGATGTTAAGCTCGGTTCAGAGTTTCCCTGAACTCTGCTCAGCCAGAACTGGAAGGCGAGGGGAAGACAGACTGTTGGTTCAGGCTCAGTGGGAAATTTAATTCGTTGATCTTGAAGGAGAGGATCTGATTGTTGACTCACGTTTCCAGAGAAGTGAAGGATCCTTGACTCCAAGCTGTGTGTTGGTTTTCCAGAGTTTGTCTGACTCGGTGGAGGGCGGAACAGGGTTTACCTAGAACTCAGACAGTGTAGGGGAACGGAGAAGCTGATTGCCACTCAGATTTCCTGCTGTACTTGAACGGGTCGTAGTGAAGATGATTCCCTTGCTCAGAGAGTAATTTCAACGTCCTTAAAGGAGACTGGATCCAAACCTCCTGTTTGAATCCCAGGCTCAGTTTAGACTCAGTTGATCCCTCCTGGGAGAGGAGGTCTGAAAAGGTCCAGTTTGCAGGATGACTTCCTGCCGAGAGGCAAAGACAAAAAACAAAGTTAAAACTCTGGGAGACAAGAACTCAGTCTTACTCAGTGAAAACTCAGCTTGGCTAGAGTACCAAAAACTGGCAAACACTCTGGCGTCGAGGTAGTGGCAATCAGCAGCTTAAGAACACTCCGTTAATGAGGTAACCATCAGCAGGTGTGTGAGGAGGCGACCTGGAACCAGGCGCCTCCTGTTGGTGGAAGGGAGACAAACACAAAAACAAACACACAGACAGGAGCCGTGACATGATGTCTAGAATCTATGAAGAAATTTATTTTAGATATTATAAATACATAATCAGTCAAGCTGATAAATCCCAGAACGGCCACTTAAACTCAAGGACAAGTATATAAAACTTTATTTTTAATAGTATACATTTTTTTTCTGAGATTCAGTTTCTGCAGCAAAAATTTTATTTAGAAAATATATTATTATAGTTCAGTCTGATGATGGCTTTTTAAGCTTGTCACGTCGCACACACTTTAGGCTAGATCAATTTAGAGTTGTAGATTTTGATACGAATTTGTTTTACGGAATATGTATTCCTGATATCTGGAAATAAAATGTGTCCCTGTCAAAATGAAAATTTCCAACAAATTGCCACTCTTAACATCTAGAATAAATATTCTGATGTCTAGAAGTTCATTTCAGATCTCCATATTATCTTCTAATGTTTCTGGTCAGCATTTGAATTATTACCACTATGAAGCTATGTATTTCAAATATCATAAATACATATTCAATCATGCTCATAAATGTCAAAACGGCCACTTAAAATGTGTAAATATTTTTAGGTATATAAAACTTAATACTTACTAGTATAATTTATTTTATTTTTTTTTTACTTTCTGATATTCAGTTTCTACTGGAAAAATGTAATTACAGTTAATTCTAGGAGGGATTTTAATCAGGAAGAATCTTATTTTAGTGATCTAAAAATGGAACAACAGAGAGGAGAGTGCTTTTAATAAATGTAATAACGGCCTGCCATAACCCAATTCATATACGCACTAACTCAAGCAACAAACTTCTCCTTCGTCATCTTCCTCTTCTTTGAATCTGTAGCGCTGTTTCTGTCTTTTAAACAAATTCTCAATTTTTTGTATTTCTTCATTAAAAACTCTAGATCTAGTGGAATGAACTAGGTACTTCATTTTGCCTGTTGTCATGGTGACTCATCGAATTGGCGTTCCACTGATAATGGCTTTTCACACATGTTAAACTCTGAGTGGACCTAATTAGAGTTGATTGAACAAATTCATAACAGCCGTTGTGAAAATGAAAACTCCAGAGCTTGGGATAGATCAATTATGATTTGCAGATTTAAATCAGAATTTCTTAAACCTGCTTCTTGAAATGACGCCAGGCCTTGCAGTCACTATAATACATCATATTAAGCAATAAGTTGTGTTCAGGTAATTCAGTGCACATAATAAATGTGTGTAGTTGACTTCTATTTACAAAAATAATTTCTGGTTGAAAAGGGGATGGAGTCAGGGTGTCCTTCATAAAAACAATAAGTAGTCCACCTGTTCTAAAGTTTGTGTTGTGTGCCCTGCTTTATATTACCTTCAATGATTTACTCCCTCCTCAATGCAGTACATACTTCTGTTGAAGGAAAAGGTAATGAAGATGTCCGTATAACAGTTTATAGGCACTTCTGATGGTTTAGCAAATAGTAACCATAATACATTTTTCAGCATCTTTAAAATGGTCAATGGGTCATGGCTCTGCTATGTGTTGTGCTGAAATGTGGGATCCTGTAGTCTGCACAGGTAGCTGATGCCAACTCCAGAAAAGCTGTAATGCTCATTCAGGTACTTTTTACGAATAATTAAAAAAGGACAAATCACTGTGAAGGAAGACGCATATGGCTTAGGTTTGAGGACAAGAAACCAGCTTCTTTATTAGCTATTTCTCTAACTCCTTCAATGCATGCCATAAAATTTAATTAAAGGCCTTTGTGCCAAACTTGGAACAACAGCCTACCATAAAAACACAATCGAACAGTAACAATGTCAATGTAAAGAAGTCTAAAGTTAATAATGGTGTAGGCATCCATAATGTTAAAATAATTAGAGTACTTGAGTAAAAACCAATCTGTATTAGTTGTAATTTTATATAGACAGATAAAAAACAGATAAGGCACCAGGCTTAGTTAAGCCTGGAGCAGGCTGGCGGCACAGAATCACCATGGTAACTGCTACTGCTTTTGTAAATTCTTTTAGAGGCTTAATTCAGTCAGGAAATTATGGCTTAATATGTTTTAACCCATTTAAATGAGATTTGTGCAAGAACTCGGAAGATTACTCTTATTGGCAAGCATGTTTATTTCGTGCTGTAGTAACATGGCATATTTGATAAATGATTGGCTGGAAAATAAAAATACATATTTATTGAATATCATTATTTTACATATTATGATAATGCTGCTAAAATCCACACTTATCTTATAGTGGAAGAAGGCCTGTGAGTATTACTAGAAGCTCCCTTCAGGAAGCGTTGTATAATACTTCGTATTGCAAACATAAACTACTGAGAAAACATCAGTTTAATACCTTTGTGTGTAACTTTTATAAAAAGCATTTCGTCTGCTGAGTACTGTTTAATCGGAAGGACATAATCTTAAATGAATAGAAACATGCATTTGGCAGTGACAGAAAGACAAAAGACCCCCACTAATAGAAAAACGATCTTAAATGCTCATTTATTCAAGATATCCGAAAATGTTTTTTTATTTATTGTATTTTCCAAAAAAAGTAATGAGCTATGAGAAAGCTAAAAGTAATCTAGTAGTTTTTTAAGCTAAAATAAAGAAATCATAAATCACTAGATCAGATGATAATACTTCTAACAGTTTGAATACATTCATTTCTATCGAGCAGTAATACTAATATATTAACCGTTAACTGCCTAAAACTGCAGTTAAAAAAACATTTCTTTAATACAAATTTAATTTAAGTCTTGAAACCTCAGAATTCACTGATTAAAAAATAATCTGTAAAATACTAGGGGATCAGCTTTCAAAAAATGCCAACATTCACACATGCATACTAACATACATATAACCCTACCAAGCTCAAGGTAATTCCACTATTCTCTTTGATCTTTACTGTATTATCATTACCTTGTTATAAGATAATTCTCATAGTCAATAGCATACAAAGCCTCATGTCAATGGAAGCAGAATTTTGTTTTCAGTAAATGTCCTCTTGAGAGCGCTAAAAACCCAGTTCACAGCTGCAAAGCGGTCTAATAATTTTGAAAGTCAGAGGGAGGATTCCTGCGTCATGCATCGGGGATTAGATGCTGATGTGGCTTTAATGCCCGGTAAACACTTTCAAAACCTTTAATGTCACTGGAAAATAGTACTGCACATGGAATTCCTATTACTGTGAATGCAAATAGAGAACAGTTTCACTTTGCATAGATTTTACACCCTTCAAAGCCTAGTTAGCTCTTAATACTTCCAAGAAGAGCAATATATTTCTTTTTAAATCGAGCTTTACTGTTGGTTGGGTAAAGCAGATGATTAGCTATGATCATCAGTACAGTGCTTAACTGAACTTTAACAGTCTTACACAAGGAACACCAGGCTACAGCTTGTTAGGATGGTCTCATATGTGGGAGATGTATAAGTAGGTGTTGCTGATGCTCCAGTCAGGGGGGAAGTCCTGCACTGCATGGCTCTTGATGTGCCTCTGCATAGCGACCAGGCTGCTGCAGAACTCCAGGCACACGGTGCACTGGTAGGGTGCAGCCCCATCATGGGTCCGCAGATGTTTTATCATAGCAGAGTAGTCCCGTGAGCGTTGACCACAAAGGCGACACTCAAATGGCTTCTCTCCTTAAGACAAAAGAACAGGCAGGAAGGAAGACGTTAAAGGTGTTGGAAGAGAGAATCTAACATTTATTTTTCTGGCCTTTGCTCCTGCATATTTTTTTGTTTTTGTCGGATGTTGGCAAAACGTAGACCTGTAATGATGAGTAAATTCTATCACTTCTGTGAAAAATTCTTTCCTTTTCAGAGATGAATTGCATTAAAGCGTGAAATCACCTAAACTGGGACACTTACATCATAATCATCCAGATCTAACTTAACTTGAGGCTTTGTTCCACTTTGTCAGTTTGTTTATCTGATTTATGTTAGTGTAACAAAAACTTTAGAAAACCATTAGCTACAGTAATATTTATGTGTGACAGTTGGAGAAAATAATGAAAGTCTAAAACTGTTTTTGCAGCATGAAACGTTTGCATCTTCCAGCTTTCAGACTAATTACAGTCTTTTAGAGAGGTAGTCAGCTTATGCCTGTTATTACAAGTAATCCAAATATGAAATATTAGATTAGATATTAGAAATATTATATAAAGATGCAAATTTTTATGAATATTAGAGAAAAAACGGAGTTCTTAATGTTATCAAATTATCATATTCATGCACATTAACGCTGAAAAATGCCATACAAGAGCTTAAAAAAGGATATAAAAAGAATATATATCTATATATATCTATATATATAGATATATATAGATATATATAGATATATATATATGATCTAGAGGTTTGCATTCCACCTTAACAGGAATGCAAATTTCAGCCGCACTGCATGTAGCCCAGATTTTTACTTTTGAATGATAGATCTTCTACCTCATGGAAGATTGAGATCTGACAGTTTCAGTTTGTCTGTTTTGAGTTGTTCATGATATTAAAATGAGTGGAAAACAGTGAGCTGCTTGGAAAGCAATTTAAAACTCTACCTCTAGCCTTCTTTAGAAAAATGTTCAGCACTTTGGAAAAACAGAAATGCGTAAGAGAATACGTTCAAGAAAGTATGAGGATATTTGCATATTACCACACCTTAGCATAACCCCCTTTATTTCTTCTACAACAACTAATCAGCTTATGAAAGGCTTTGTATAGTATAATAAAAATTATACCCATTAAAGATGGTAAAAAATTTGTCTTTTCAAGACCACAAAATCTGATGCATCTTATTGCAATTTAATATAATAGATATGGGGAGGTTAGAGTAGTCAATAAACAACATCTGATTCATTTTGTCAAAATTATATTAAACAAAGACAAAATATAAAATAAATTACAATATAACCAAAGAAAACATATTTCTAAATCACCCCCCCCCCCCAGAAAACCAGTACTTACATATTGCAATGTATGTATATTACAATATTGCAAAATACTTTCTATTACAATATACGTTTAACTGTATTGTCATTTGACTACAAAACAGCTCAGCTAATAGAAAGATTTTAATTTGAATAAGTAGTCTAACTTAGAAAAAACTTTTTTTGAGTCAGGGTGCATGTTTGGTTAGAACATGCAGTATTTGATTTAGGCAAGCAGCTAAAGGTGCGAAAAGTCGCTAGAAAGTGTCATTTCAAAATCCTATAACTTAATTAGAAGCAGTTCGGTGGAGTGAAGCTGCTCTTTGAATTGTTTAATATTTTTTAAGAGTTTACTGAAATGCAGAGGGAAATGTAAATAGTTATTACCCTCCTATTTGTCAGGTCAGTACAAATAATTGTTTAATTCTGAATTAGAAGAACAATTATGCAACCTTTAAAAAAATGTTTTTACAGATAAAAATCTCCAAAGCACAGATAATCTAAAATTTAACGCAGTATATGTATTTCATTCCTCTGTGAAGATAGACTTCCAGGTATTGCCAAATACCCAAAATCAGATCTGTGTCTAAATGTGATTATGCTCTATTCTAAACCGCCCATGTGAATTTCTTGTCAAGTCTCAGGTCTCGCATCGGCTCATGAATTTGCTTCCTGGACTGTCTTGTATTTAGTTCCATCCACCTACCCAACTCTGAATGTTCCCTTTTTATGCTAAATAAAGCATCCCCACAACACCACACCCATAGGGCTGACTGGCTTTTAAGTATATTAACCAGAGAAAAAAAAACATGTTTAGCACGTAGGCCAAATAGTTTAACTTTGGTCTCATTTGACGATTGAACCTCTCTTAACATGTTTGCCATTACTCCTTGGCTTGTGCAAAAGATTTTCTTTCAGCGGCCCTACAGTTTACCTACCGTACTCTTCCAAAAAGGCCCAGATTTCTGGACTCCATGCTAAAATTTGTCTATCCAACTAATTTTCCCACAAGTTGTAGTTTGCTGCCCCCACAACCACCACTCACACACACACACACACGGACGCACACACACACACATGCAGTTAGCACAGGCCTTTTAAAACTGATTAATAAATGGACAATGATTTATAAAGAGTTTTCTTTAAATACATGACTCCAGGCAATATAAAGATCTGTTAACAGTTGTAAGACAATTACCGGTGTGGACGCGATGATGGGTATCGAGCTGATGTTTTAGGCTAAACTTCTTGGGACAGTGTTTGCATTGGTAGGGTTTTTCGCCTCTGTGGTCTGTGCCGTTTGCTTCGAGTTGCACAGCGTCTCTTCCACAGAACTGACATCCATCGCAGCTTTGACCTGTGGCAAACCAAATTAGAATGTCTGAATGGCAGTTATAAATGGTGTTAAAAAACATACCGTGCACAACAGGATATACCACATTAAATGATTCTTAACAGTTTTTTTTTTTTTTTTTAAGAAAAAAAAATACATGCGTGATTACATAGGGGTTACCAAAAGGATTCACTTTTTTAAATGAATAACAGACAGTCGAGGAGGGTACCACGAAATATTATTCATTTGAAATTTTACCAACTGATGCTTCAAATATCAGAAACCTAACTGGCAAATTTTTTGATCTGTTTCTGAAATTTAAGCTGAAAAAACAGATTTTTTTTTTTTTTACATCTCAAAACTAACAGATCTTCTTATATTGACACTGCTTTCTATAATCTGAAACAATTCTCACTTTATATTCATATTTTTGGTTTACGTTCTTAATTTAACTTGATTTTTTCAATTAAATCTTTATTTTATTTTAATTTCATATCTGCTTTTAATCCTGCCCTCAGGCTGGTTCCTCATTGTAAATACTGTAAGTATTGGTTCCTAGTCAAGTTAACATTGAGACAAAAACTTACTTAAATGTCAATACTATGTAATTAAAAGTTTTCTAACTATATTTATTTAAGCAACCCAGAAAAAATTTTGTGAGCTCTACAAAGAGGTTTTTCTGTCACATAGTATTCACCAAGTGCATATTTTTATTAAGCATCCTGTTGCAAGAGTATAGATAACCATGTGTAAGGTTTCTTTCCTGTGAGCTCTTCGAGTTCATCTCTTTAAATCTTTTACAAAAGGTGTGATTTTTGAGGTTTTTTAAAAAAGTGGAGGTTTCGCTGTCCTGCATGCTTTTTTGGCTTTTTTAAAGAGAAAACATAGCCCTCACAGTAGCCTATAGACAGGATGCTGAAATATGGAGCGGGTATAGGCCTACTGTAGTGAGAGGAAAAAACAGGAGAGAATCGACCACAACAACTCAACACCTACCACTCTAAAAAACGCAACCTAGCGAGATCTGTCACCGTTTGTCTGTGTTTCCTGTCCAATTTGTCGTTCTGCATTTTGTGCTGCTTAGATATTTATTGTAGAATTAAGCAACTCTAAATTTTACTCTTATCTTCACCATGGTAATACCACTTTTTTGTTTTTCGTAGCTGTCAAAACATGAACATACCGTTCTATCAAATGAATAAAAGTCTTTATCTGCTCAGTTTTACACTTTCACTCTTGCAGAGGCCCTTGCAGAGGCCCCCATGCAGATCCTGTTTGTGCTGTCATCTTCAGAAGAATTTATCAGAACACATCAAATTTGTTAGACTTTTTGCCTAAGGACAAACCGCGCTTTCACTGCAGCACATACTGTACTGTATATATCTAGCTGTATCTGGTAACCACACTACTGCTCCTATTGCACCATGCTTTCAAAACCACAACTCTCTTTATCACTTTCCATTGCGTAGCTGCATCGATGGAACCAAGGTTAAGGGTCACACTGAAGTATTTCACTATTTTGTTAAATTGACCTGTTTTACTCAGAATCACCCCTCCTGCAATTGTAGTAACAGCAATGTGCTCTGTGTGCCATACTTGTTCTAATATTCACCATTTTTGTGTGATTGTTTTCTTACCCAATCGTGTGGAGCCTGACTCCCGCAGCAGTGGATCACAAAGGACTTTTTTACTGCAGTGTTGGCAATCTTCAAGTCTTCCCCTAACTTTTTGCGCTTCTGGAAAGCTACACAAAGAATATTTTGCGGTGTGACAACTGCAGATGTTATGATGTTAAAAAAACAAACAAAAAATCAAATAAACAACAAATACCTGTGTGCCAAAGACCCATTTTTGTAAAGATATTTTCTGGATTTTATTTCTGAACAGGAAAATGTCAGTTTGCATACAATTTATTTACTTTCCCTGTTACTAAAATGCAGAGATATTTATAGCACTTTGAGGTGTATAGATAGTTTTCCTTTCTTGAAAGATCTGATTAGAAAGAACAAATGAGTGGGAGACACCATGGAAGGTCTTCTTTTCCCCCACAAAGTCTCTTTTACATTGTGAACTATGTTTTTGTGGTGTAGACGCACTGTCGAAACAGAGAAAATACGTTTAAGTGGGTGGAAAATATAAAATTGAGTTAAGTTAGGGAGAATTGGAGGGGGGGGCCCTTTATTCACAAATGCTGCTTCTTTATAGTGACGTGAGAGAATTTTGGCTTTTTGCATAGAAACAGAAATTTGAAAAGCGAAAAGAAATCTCAGATGTAATTTATTCTAAATATGTGAAACTTCAATGTCACTTTAAAAAAATCATCCAAGGACTTAAATAACATTAAAAAGAAAAAAGTTATGTTGCAGTGACTTGAATTGTTTTTTTTATTTTTTTCACAAAAGAGACCTCAACACAATTGATGGGACAGGGAAGGGTTAACAGTTGAAACCAATCAAGCAGGAAAGTGCAGGAGGCACGATCACACGCACCCACAACACGCACAAACACACCTCTACCCGACCAGCAGTGAGTCAAGTATGGTAGCTGTCGCAAAGGAACAATTGAGCAGACCAGGGGGTTCTAAAATGAGTCTTCAGTAGGAAAAACATGGAGACTTTGTGCAAAAAAAATGTTTTCAAAGTTAAATCAGAAGGCTGTCTTACCTTGTCTCCCCAGTTTGACTTGTTTGGCTTGATTTCTTCTTTTTCAAAAGACTGTTCTTGATCATACTGCCCATTCGTGAGGTCCATCCGTGAGCATAGGGATGGGGGTGAAAGTGTGAGTATCCCAGTGCAGCATTTTGTAAGGGAGTTTGAAAATGGGAACTAAGCAGAGGGAACATGTGCTGAGAAGAAAGGGAGAATGGGTACATCACAGAGGTCTGGTTGGAAGATGGAAGGGGATGAGCTGCGATGAAGTTTGAGTAGTTTTCAGAAATTTGGCCTAAGGTTTTAAAGTGATTCCCAGAGACCCACATGTTTGGGAATGCCCATGCAGGGGAAAAAGATGAGCTGCTAGTGTTGGACCTGGTAATCACACTATCTCTGTTGCACAGTGCTGCTGGTATTGGGGACAATCCTGCCTTCCTTCTTGGGGATTTTTGGTTGTTACGGATATCATTAGAATCGGCAGGTGAAACATTTTCCATGACGATGCCAACGCTGGATTTTTCTTCTGGGGAGGATATCTGTTTGAGTTTGTTCTCGAGAATTTTACTTTTTTGCGTTTGATCTGTCTCTTGTAAACCTTTCTTTTCCTCTCTGAGGTCAGCCGCTTCTCTGCTCTCATCTTCCTTTCTGGCTTCGAGACAGTCAAGCTGTTTGCGGCACTGGTCCTCCAGCAGCTGCATTTCTAAGAGCTGGGCAGCTCTCAGCAGTTGCTTCAGGTCTTTTGCTGGCACTTCAAGAGCTTGAGTGTAAGTGAAGTCCAGAACTTGCTGGAAGGTTTGGGGAGTGAAATACTCCAACGTGCAAAGGGCTGGGCTGTCCGAGTCAGCTTTGGCCAGGTGCTGCGCTAACGCTCTACTAGCACAGGCTAGAACTAACCGGTGTGCCCGAAAAGTTTGGCTCTGCACTGAGATAATGACATCGCAGAGCATACCTGATTGACGAAGGGCATCCGCCTGCTGCAGGAAGTTGTAGTATTGGCTGTTGTAGATTCGGATCATTTCTGATAGTTCTGGTAATATTGGGCAGGGTCTAAGAAGAGAACACACAAATCAAGATCCATCAGATAATATTCACGGCATGTTGTAAGATCACTTCAATTCCTTTGACTTTTATGTGGCATTTCTTTTATATAGAAATTACTTTACAAATCAATTGCAGAAATCTGCAAAGGATTGCCATATAATATGTTTTCTTTTGCTTGAAAGTTTTCCACTCAGATCCAAATTAAGCCTCATTAATGGTGAAATATAAAAGGCAAGAATGCACAGCGGGAGTTTTATTTAGGCGCTTTAAATTCATTGACAGATTATGAGGTTTTTTTATCCACAGTACAAACTTCCTCTTACTTGTTTTTTAGACCTCTATAAAATTTAAAGTTTACGAAATGTCTTGCATTCTGCAGCAATATTTCCCTCAATCACAGCCATGTATGTTATCAGGCTTTAATGTCGGGGCCGCTTTGTGGAAATGTTCTCTGTTATGTGACGCTTTTGATATTCGCAGAGCACATACACACTCTAAAGCCACAAAGCCCTAACAGTATATGAAACTATGACTAATGACTGTACACTTGAAAAAAACATGAGTAAAGTTTAAACGTCAACAACCATAAGGCTGTATTTTGGTGTGATAAACATCAAATGCAAAAGATTGCAAGGGTGTATTATGTAAATATTTGCATATGGGACATGAATATTTCTAATTTTATAACTAAAATTCATAACACGGAGATAAAAATGTAGTTGCTGATTGTTAAGGGTGTCCTCTTTACATACAAATACTGATTTTCCTTATACAAAATAATACTATATATAGATATAGATATCTATGTGTAAAGATATATATAGATCTATATCTATTTTAATTTTAAATTTTTATATATATATATATATATATACAGATATATATATATATATATATATATTTATATATATATATATATATATATATATATATATATATATATATATATATATATATATATATATATATATATATATATATATCTGTATATATATATATATATATATTTATATATATATATATATATATATATATATATATATATATACATATATATATATATATATATATATATATATATATATATATATATATAAAATATGCATATTCCAAATTTCCTTTTTGCTAACTAAAATAAACCATTGTGACATATGTTACGATGTCTTACAAACATTTTCAGGGAGTGGGACGTTAAATCCTGCTCGTAAAATGTATTTCAAGAGTTGCATCAGACTAATAATTTCAGCGGCTTTATCAGTTCTTATCTTAAAACTAATTTTTTTTCCCCTGAAAGAGGTTTTATGGTATTTATTCATTTTTATCTTTTTGATTAAATATACACAATGAGGATAGTCCATAAGTATAGCATGAGGAGTGAAAGTAACACTAAAAGAACTTTCACCGCTTTTCATAATGTACGCCAAGATTATAAGCAAGCCAACAGTTTCATTTCAGTATATGTTTGACAAATTCAAAATTGTAAGTTATAGCATTTTTTTTCTGTATAACATCTAGTTATATAATTTAAACTGGTGTTTGTGCATAGGTATGTTGAGCTTCCACATGGACCATTTTTCCACTGCAACATATACAAAGTATATGTCGCCTTCTTATATGTTGCAGAAGATATATATATAATTTGAAGCACAGTGAAAAGCGCGCTGACATTTATACGTTTGCAGATATATAATGGAGTATTTTTCTACGCACTCTGCATTTTTTTACGGCAAGCTTTTACTTTATATTTCTGAGCTCAAATGTAACAATAAAAATCATAATAATGATGCAAATAATAAATAGACCTATCATTGTTATTTTTATTTGTAAAACACATTTTAAGGGCTTTGAAAAAAAAATAGGCCTGATCCCGTTTTGGAATGCAATGCTTATTATCAAAGCAGCCAGGAATAGTCTCAGTGAGATTTTGTTACAACCTTTTACTTTCTCTTTAACATGGTGACTACATTTCGCTTCTGAAAATAGAGACTATAAATCTGTTTATTAATGAGGTTCCTCAAAGCTCTGCCTTAACTCATAATGAATGTTATTTGAGTTAAATGATTACTGTAGGAGGCCTTCAGGTCAGATGGTTAGTAAATCCCAAAGAAAGAATACTTGTAGGCTACAACAATCAAATCGACTGAGCACTCCTGCAGAATTGTGTCAGAGTTAACTAGTGCCTGAGCTCCATTCACGCACTGTACAGTAGAATTTAAATGCTTACACAGGGGAAAACCATGCATGCATTTGTCAGCTTTACACATCCTTTCACAGGACATGAACTTACAGTCAGCCTCCCCGCAGCGTGCATGTAGAAGACTGAAGTCACAGGAGAGAAGCCTGATTTGAAAGACTCCGTGGCGTACAGAAGAAAAAAGTAAAACTATTTTTTAACTAGATTTTTCTCTAGAAAAAGATGAGTGCTAAAAAATAGAGTAAGATCAAACGTATGTTCTGTGGTTTTAAGTCTCAGAAGAAGCAGAAATCTGCATGAATGAGGCACTTACCGTTTTTTTTTTGTGAGTTCTCTCTCAGGAGGGTGATAAGCTACCCTGCACCATGACTGTACAGTGACTTGTGAAGTGTTGGGGCACAGGTTAGTCTGTAGGACAAGGTGGTTTCCTCTTTGTCTTTATGGTCCCTCCTCTTCAAGTCTCCTATTGGTACATTGATTATAGGCCTAAATTGCTTGCTTTTCACTACAAAAAAGACTTTCTTCTTTGTTTACCCACATTTTGTTATAAATCTTCGTCTTTGTTTTGTTTAGAGGGACAGAAGATTTCATGATTATTCATTTAGGACTCATTTGACTTGTTAGATGGCTGTTTTTTTGATACATGCTAAACATCAGCCCATGTATCCTTTGTCTGTTTTCACTAATCCTTTCAAGAGTAACCGAAATATAGCAACATGATATATAGATAGATAGATATATGGATAGAAAGAAATTGATTTATAAATAAAGGAAAAAGCAGGGTAAAACAAAAGGGGGAAAAAATGAGGACAGTGGTGGCATATTTGTGCATTGCTGTATATCTGTGAAAGCCGTACATGATTTCCTCCCCCTGCAGCCATTATCTGCTGGTCACTACATTAATAGACTATTCTGTGCTGTGACAGAAACCACTTGAAAGTGACTGGCCTGTGACAGGAAGTTTGCAGACCAAAGCCCATTGGTACTGACATGCAGGGAGAGCAGGCTTGCAAAACCTGCACCCTCAAAATAGAGATGTCTGCTTTTCCCTTTAGTCAGATATGTCAGATGTTAATGTGACAACCTTAAAAAATAGGCCAACTGTAGAGAATTGGTCACTTCATTAGACCACAGCGGTTGGCTAGTCCTACATTAAGAGTGTAGCTTTTGTTTAAAACTAGTTCATGCCGCTAAATTATTAATAACAAATTGTTCAGCAGTGACCTATTTACTCTTTATTTGATTCTCTTTTTTTAATCTATATACTGTTATTATAATTTCTTTACATTTTTGAGTACCTTATTGACCAGGTTTCCCTCGAACACGTACCGGTAGGTCTAAGTACATGACAAGAGTGCTGTAGGCTTTAGTTCTCAAATGTTTAAGACAACCTACTCTTGTCTTATAGACATTGAAAGTCAATAAAAACATTAAAAAGGAGGGCACCATAGAAAACCCCCGACAGGAGTAAAGAAAGGCTGGTGTGGCTTTAAATCATCGAAAAATAAGGCATATACATACAGCACATACCACCAGTGAAATGTTATCGCTATAGTTTTTTTTACACAAACAGGTGGGAGTTTGTACATTGCACATGGAGAGCAGAGGGGTTCAATTTGTGATGCAGTGAAAATCTGAGTAATAAAGGAACATTTTGGCATTATGATAAAAGAGCAACGAGGTGATGGAAGGTTTAAGGGAGAATAGAAATAAGGTAGATGATCTTATGACTTTATGATCGAGATGTCATAGATGTCTAGGATCTGTTCGTATTCTAAAGGTTAGATTTATTAATCCTCTTTTTTCATTGCATCTTCCAAAACTTGATGCTATGAGAATGAACAATTCTTCCATATTTTTCACCTCAGAACAAAGAATTGCTGCTTGATTTTAGGTTGATGAAGTTAAACAATAGCCTTTTTCTTCAGCTTTAATTATCAGGTCCTTTTTTAATTATTTTCAAAATCCTTTACTTTACCAAAAAAGCTCAGCTTGTTTTTTTAAACAGAAAGGCTGCATTAATATGAACCATGTCGCTGTCTCAGGTCAGGACAACAGAAGATTTTAAATGCTCCAAAGACACGAAGCAAACTCTCTGGTGTCAGAACTTAACCTCATGTAAAAAGTAACTGTGATTTACCTTTAAAAAAATAAAGAAAGAAGTTATTTTTTCAGTGTTGTATACCCTTTCTTAAAAGCTTTTATTGCTTGTGTGTCATGGATTGTGTAATCTGTGTAGATCTATCGTCTCGGGGCTTTATACTATATGCCTTCTGATGAGGCTCGGTTATCTTATTAAAAGCAACTCTGGAAAATAACAAACCTTAAAAGGACCTTCAATTTAGTCCACCTCTCTCTATTTATTTTTTTTTCATTGGTCTTATATTATATTCTAATATTAAATATTGTGGTAGCATAACATAACCAACATAACATAAATAAAGGCTTGAAAATCTCAGTCTGTCAACATATTTCACACTGTGAACTGAATTACTAAAATACAAAAAAATGAATGTTGTTCTAATTTATGAAATATTACTGTGGTCAACAAGGCGTTGTAGTTTTTCAAGTTTTTGATTTGATTATTTTGAGTTGAATCACTGTCTTACAACCTTAATAACAGCATAAGCAGAGGTTGAAAAAAAAAAACATAGCCCCAACAGGAAAGCAATAATCTGTAAATCTGTGATTCTATACAAAGCCGAAATGTTGACATGAGGGAGTTGAGAGAAAAAAAAAAAAAAAATTGGTCAAACAAGTTAAGATTACTGATTAAACTCAGAGAAATTGCAATCATTCTGTTTGTGAGCTGACAAAATTATTAATTAGAAGTCAATATGAGTTAAGATTAAGGACAGTAAAAGGAGGCGGGTCTTTCATCTGATCCTAAATACGAACAAAATGAGGGATATGATTGAAAATGTCAGAAGAAACAGGAACCAATCAAATGCTATTACCATCATGGGAGAAGAAGTGGAGGTGATGGAAGAGTATAAATAACTGATCAACGCACTGGATTGGGGACACATGACAGGATCGAAGGGAACAGATTACTTCTCGGGAAAGCTTATATCCTTTGGTGTTTACAGCAAAATCGTAAGCTTCCATGGCTCTGTCCATGGAAGCCCTGTGGTGGAGCTGAAACCTTTGAAGATGATTTCTTCATAAAAGACAGACTGCTACAGGAGATCCTTTCTGCCTACAGCTATAGACATCTACAGTACAACAATAAAAAAATAAAAAAAAATAAAAAAAAACCCTATGAGGCCCAAAAAGTCCAGGAATTATGTCATTCTTCAGTTGTGTAGTTTTAATTATCTAATTTCACCAGCATTTTTATTTGTGCATGCCAAATGTTCCTTATGTAATGTAAATCCTTTATTGTACCACAATGGGGAAATTCACTCTTTGCATTTAACCCATCCCCTTGGGGAGCAGTGGCCTGCCATTGTGTGGCACCCGGGAAGCAGTGTGGGGTTTAGGGTCTTGCTCAGGGACCCATAGTGGCAGTCTGTGGGAATGAGTGGGAGTTGAACCTGAATTTAGCCTTCTGTTTAAAGATAGGACTATTTTGATCTCACAACGGAGAAATTCACTTATGACAACTAAAAAAAAACAGGAGGTTCAAAAGAAGGACAAGTAAGTGAGAAATACAAATAAAGCAATACAATACAATGCTTGCCGGTTAAAAACACTGTGCCGTCACTTAGTAGGCTCTTTGCATTCTCTGCAAACTATCATATCATCTGTTAGTATGCTTGTGGTTTCGTTTCTTTTCTTGGAAATGAGAATTGGATAAGCAAGAGAGTAGATTGTGTGTGTCAGTGATCAAGTAGTTATTACCTTGTGGGGACCATGTAAGGCCACCCTCCCAGCCAGGAATATGCTACTTAGTGGTGACTCATTAGTGGACTGGTCCTGATGAGGAAAGGTTCTCTTCTTGGGTTAGGTATGTTAGTAAAAAGTGGAGATAGGCTGAGGGTCTGGGTTAGGCTGTAGAAATAAATGCATATATATATATATATATATATATATATATATATATATATATATATATATATATATATATATATATATATATATATATATATATATTTGAAGAGATCTATTCAAATTTTCCAGGCTTGTGTAGCCATGCATTTTTCTTATGCAATGCATTTCTTTGTCTTATGACTGTGAGTAGAATGATAACATCTTACTCTTTCTTTTGGGGCTGAGACAGTTAAAGCTGCTAATAGTAAAACTTACTTTGTGAACAACCATAAACTGACCTGATGTGACAAAGGTCAGACATATAACTACCATGGAGACCACAAAAAAGTTTTAAGGGCTTATATCATGAGAGCGTCTACATTTAGTTAACATAAACTCGGCTTGCACTTGTACCTTAAATGATCATTGCATGCATTTTGAATTAACCACCGTGTGGTTTCCTTTTAAATGCTGCGATCACAAGTTTGACTTGCCGTGCATTAGTTACAGATGGATTTTTTTTTCAGCTCTGCATCACTGTATCATATAAAAACTGACCATTTATGATAACGCAGTCTGGTAATTTGTGAAAGCGTGGGTGTATGCATGGCTATGAACTACGTGCTGACATTTGGGGCTTCTCTGAGCACTCGGTGCTCACTCATCATTGAATGCTCCTCAAACCACTGGACAGTATGATCTCATCTATTCCCTTCAATGTTTTAAATGTCACCTTGCACAACATGGGAAGAAGACAGCAAGCAGTGAGGCACAGGGCTTTACCTACCAGTAATATCAAGACTCTTTGCGCCCCCTTCCCCCATGCACACCCTACCCCGTCTCGCATCACACTCCTTAGCAGCTGCTATCCCCTCACTGTCGGTTGAAGAATCACCATTAGACTCCCCCACCAGGACCTAATGCTGACTCACTGGTGTTGAGAAGGATAGTAAAGGTGACAAGCTCCTCTGTGTGCAGCAGTATGTGCAACAGATTGCACGTCAACTGATGTTAAAGATATCTATGTTTCAGTCGATCAAATACATCTACCGTGCAAAGATGCCTTTGATCCACCTACAAAGCTGCTTAATTTTTTATGTACAAAGAAGTTTCAGATTGTTTTGTTGAATGAATCAAAGTGTTACCGAACTAAACAAGATGCTCGCTCAGACAAAGCGAAGTGATTAAAGTCTGGGTTAATATGAGTCGACTTACGCTACCGCACTGGCGGTATGTGAGCAGTTGACTTCACAGGAACCACTACGAAGATGACTGATGCGCGCTACAGGCATCAATGGCAAACTGTTACTGTACAGCCACAGAGCCTTTTCACAGTAATCTGGGTGAGCAGGACTACCCGTCAGTGTTGTGGTTTGGAAGAAGTGAACCAGAGGCTGGGGCTTGACACTTCTTTGTAATTTGT